TACTTCCTATAATTTTTCCTATTTGCTCAAATTTATTCTTATGTGCTTCATAGTGTTTTTATGATAAATGAGATTCCATAATTCATGAAACTGAGCATTATTTACATATGTGAAGACTATTGATTACTTTTTAATTGCCCATCTGGATAACTGAATTATTACTATTTTTTACTTAGTTTCATAGTTCTTTCTCGAAGAATCTCATAATGCTAGTATTATTGTGCCATCTGTATATCAACATAGTTTTGCTCATTATCTTCTGTTATATATGTTTAATTTCCTTATTTCACACTCTTAGCGTAATAGCAAATACTGCCGAAGGTATTGGGTCACTTATCTTCTTAATGAGTATTGTGGAACATTTTGTTTCCATACAGTAAGATATTAGTATTAGAACTGAAGTATGTATATTTTAACAGGCTAAGAAATACCTATAAATTCTGATTTCATTGTGTGCTTTAAGAAAAAAGTTCCCCAGTTAAAATTTGGGAAACTGAGGCTCAAAGAGTGGAGCCACTTTATCAAGTGTCATACAACAAATGGGTGGCAGAGCTGAGAACTGAATTCAATTTTTCTGGCTCTAAAGTTCATGTTATTTATTTAGACGGGGCCTCACTATGCAGTTCAGGCTGGCCTTGAGCTCGCTTTTTAACCCAGGCTGGTCTCTAACTTGCAAGGATTCTCCTGCCTCAGATTCCTGAGTGCTGAGATTACGGTGTGCACCACTACACTCGGTTTAGAGATCATATTTTAATTATATTACTTGCAATATAAATCAAGTTTTTCAACTTCTCACGGAATTACCAAAGAAGTTAAAGAAAATGATGAAATTTTGCTAGGAGATATTATTAAAGATTTCACAGAGGAGGTAACTTTGATTTGGACTTCACAGGCTGATTGAAATTTTACAGCCAAGTGAGAGGAGACTGTTAGCAAAGGAAACTGCCTGGTCAGAAGGAGCATGGCCAAAGTGAATGGTGTTCTGGGAAAGCAGAAAAGGTTTGCAAGAGAAAAGGCTCCGAAGCTTGCTTACAGAGCTTAGATATACGAGATTGGGGAGAGGGAAGTTCAATACAGATTTAAAATGAAGCTTTGTTGAGATATATTTTACATATCACATAACTTATTTTTTAAAACCAAGGAAGTTTAACTGTATTGCTTTAAAAATTTATTTTTATAGTATACTTGCAGGGCATAATGATTGTATGTATCCTGGGACTTGAAAATATACCTAACATATCTTTATTATTCTTACTTCTCCTTTCTTTTCTTCTATTCCAGTTCTAGTAATTTTTTCCGACTCGAGTACTATTACCATAAATCAGTTTTAGGATATTTTCATGTCTTCCAATAAGGATACTCCACATGGATTCCTCCCCAACTCCAGAAAACCATCATCTTTTTTCTATAACTTTGCTCTTTCTAGACACTTCACATACATGGACTTGTACACATGTGGCCTTTTAACTAGCTCGCTTCACTTTATGATAGTTCTAAGGTCCATTCATGTTGTAACACTGATCAGTACACCTTGTTTTGGTAACATCCCACTGTATGGCTCTACCTTGTTTATTCTTTCATCAATTCAATACTTTTTCTAGTATTTTATTATTATGAGTAATGCTACTATGAATATTTGTCTAGATCTACAGTTTATTTCTTTTGGGTAGGTATCTAGGGATAGAATTGCTGAGTTTTATGTGGAGTTATGCTAGGCTTTTTGAGAAATTGCCAAACAGTTCTCCAAAGTGACTGCACAATTTTACAATCTTGCCAGCAATATATGAAGGTTCCTGTGTCTCATTCTCAACAACACTCATTACTGCCTGTCTGACTTGTGTAGTCATTTTAGAGGCTATCTCATTGTAAACTGCATTCCCATAATGGCTAATTTTCATTTGCCAAAGACTTGAATTCTAAAAGCTCTATTTGGATAACATATTAACTAAAATGATGATTATAGAAACATATGTAGAATTAATGAGAAGTAATAAGTTGTTGAGTTGCAGATATTAAAAACAAGGAACGAAAAAGACATGCAATCAAAACTCAGAATACAAGGTTAGAGACATGAACTTGGTACTCAAGTATAAAGGAGAGAGAGTAAAACTTAGATGAGGGCAATAACAGAGGTAACATGTAGCAGAAGCTGAGCAATATTGGGGAACTGATGGAGGATGACATTCCAGTGTGGCAGAGATTTAGGAGAAAGAGGAAAGACGGGAGCCGTGATATCGTTGGTTGAAATATTTTGAAGGCAAGAAGAGAGGTCTACAATAGCAAACACTTTGTATCAGTATAGATAATTGAATAAGGAAAACTAATCGACTTTGGTGCAATTCATAGCTGACATCTGATAACAATTTTCACTAAGGGAAGAAATTTTTAATTTTTTTCTGTAATGCCATTTAAAAAAAAAACTTTTTTCTCCATTTTTCTTTCTGTCCATACTCCTGTGTACTCTCTGTTTAAGAACTAGAGTTGAAACTGTTAATAAACAGCCCAATCACTGATGCTAGAGGGGCAGCCTGGAAACAGGCTATCCTATGAGAACGAGCCTTGAGGACTCAGTGTGGACTTTGATAAACACAAAGTTTGACTTTGGTTTTGTGTGCTGGGAATAGCATTTCATTTCACTGTTTGAGTCACTGAATGAATGTCTGTTGAGCTCATTAATGTTCCTCACTCCGAGTACCCTTTATGGACATCCACTCCATAAATTTATTACCATTCATGGGAAAATATTTGACCAAAATACTCTTTGCTCCTCTGTGACACGGGTTATAATTCTATCCAAGTGAGCTGCTCCCTTTCTCAACCACAAATATATCCAACTCATTACAAATACACAAACCTTTGTTATTTTTCTTTTATAGACTCAAACTTTTGAACATGAATCTGTTTATTTTTTCTCTTTTGATTTCCAATTTTAGAAATAACTCTCCAACCTCTATATTTAACAGGATATCTAGGAAATTCAGAATGGTTATAATTCTGGTGAAGGAATTTTCTTGCTCTGTGTGACGCATTTATAGGATTTTCAAAGAAGCCATGTAGATGACTGAGAGAAGGACTCATTTGTGTTTTGAGTTGGATAGCTCAAATGAAGATTCTTAGTGTCTTTCTCGGTAACCTTTGATTATGCTGATGGAGAAAACACATACTAAGTAATTTCTAAGAGGTTTGAAGTCACCTCTGTCCTTGTGACACACTTCCCCAAGTCTGGTACTTTATCTTTCTGTGTAAGAGAATCTCAGCATTTGTAAACATTGCTTTAAAACACATGCATGCCTACACACACACACACACACACACACACACACACACACACACACACACGCACGCACATACACACGCACACACACACAGAGGCTCACTTTCCTGGTTGCTGGTTTTAAGTTTCTGGTCTCAAGCAAGCCTGCTGCCGCAGCCTCCCAACAAGCTGGGGTTTCAAGTGTGCTCCTGCTTTCTTTGATTCTGCCTGATAGCATTAAAGAGTGTTTCTTAGACTTTCTGAAGGGATAATGTTTAAAGATTTAATGATTATAGAGGAAGAGGTTCAGGAAAAAGGGGAACACCTTGACAACTGTAATTTCTAGAAGAATTCTAACTCTGATAGAAGATATTCTATTCTGAGATATGAGATTTATCTTTTAAATACCCATAAGAATTTCATTACTTTTCAAAACAAAAATTTTTAACAGTGCAAATATCTATGAGAGGTGGTCCTTCAAATATTTTTTTGCTTGGACATTTAAAATATGTCTGGAGAAAGACTAAGTGGTGCTTATAATGTAGCTTACACAAAGCTCCATGACAGTTTGTGTTACAGACACAAATTTTGCTTTAGATAGACTAAATAAGAGCTTGAAGCAACCAATAGTTTTAACAATTCTTCCAACACAGGAGAAATTAATAAAAGCCTATTTGAATGAGTTAGAAAAATCTAACTGAAGTGACCTATTTCTGATAGAATGTTGTCAGAATTAAATAATTAGAAATAAAGTAATTTTTAGTTTAGAATGTTATCACCTGAAGAAAGAACATAGCCATAGTCCTCATAGTTTAATAACAGGCATATTTTCTTTTGACTAGAATTCAAGTATGTTATTTCATTACTAACCCTCTGAGATGATATTTAAATGTAGTTAATTTGGATGCTGTAAAAGGATGGGTTGAAAAGATAAAAGCAAGCATGTGCCCTGTGCAATAGGAGAAACATTACACATGTTATTCCATATTTATTCTGCTTTTCATCATTAATGTAAAAATAGATCTCAAAAAGTATACATATATATATTCTATGTGAAATACAAACTTACTTAGGATAAAAATTTTTTTGAAAATAATTTGTAAAATGAGAAAAAAAGCTGTGTTACGGTAGTAATAAACATGTCTACTAATGTACCAGAGGGTAATTTTTGTGTTCTATTAAATATATCCAACTAATACTATAAAGAAGTTTTCTTACTTACCATGTGAACTATTATCAACATGCCAAGTAATTAAAAAGTACTTTTATCTCCTTAAAATAAAAAAAAAGTTATTACTGTACATTGCAGATATTTGGGGGCTAAATTTTCACTTGTGGAATTAAATTTTGAATTGATTTTTGTGATCACCATTTTGCATTTTTCACGACTGGTCATTCTTTATTGCACTGTAAAAGAAAGGTTTCTTTTTCTTAAAGGATGGTTTTAAGTGAAGGTTTCTTTTTTTGATGATTATTTGAGTTTTGAACCTTTTTTGTATCGTGATCATACTTCTCTTAAAAATAGTGCTAATTTTTCTCAGTATAAGTAATATTTTTATGATCTTGTTAAGTTAAAAAAATAAAAAGCCTTGGACATTCTACTCATTGTGATAGAAGCCAAAGCTTTTACTTTTTGCTTTTTTCTTAATCACCAATAGAAGCGTGAGATATTTTGATTTGTGGCCTTGTGGAATCACCTACATCAACACACACAGTTCTAGGCCTGCGTGGTCTTTTGGCTTTGTCCTTTTTCACTTTTGTAGCCGTGAAGCAAACACATTATGCAGTGAGAAACCTCACCCTTGGAAACCTGCCACTGCAGTCCTAGCTCACACACGTTCATTAGCATAATGTTTCTGAAACACTGTCATGATTCTTTCTCCTTTATTTAAAAACTTCCTACGGCCTGTTATATACCTTTTTCTTAAAAGTTAATACTTTCTCTTCCTCTGACCCTTTCTCTTTTAGCAATCTCAGTTTTTTGTCTTTTGACACAGTTTTCCTGCTACTCCCAAGCCATCTGGCTGTTACTAACTCTCAAAGTTTGCTTCTAACTACTTCCCTGCCTGTTCAGATGTCACCTGAGCCATAAGGAGTCCTCTCTTGCCTGATGCAGCCCATTTTGCTTTTGGATATGCTCTTCGCTTTATTATATACGTCAAATAAATTAACTGTGATTTTCATAGTTATCTTTGTATGTATGTCATACAGTGTAACAAGGTTTTTCTCAGTAGTTTTGCACGTGTGCTGTGTCTGCAGCGGTGCTTTCTGTAAGCTCTAGGGAAGGACTCCGCACTGTCACTTCCATATTTCTGCACCAGGACCCACCCTCCTGCCCTCCCTGCAGTTCAAAACTGCAACAGTCTAAGGTCTAATCCTACCATAGCACATGTTTAAATATCTGTTTGGTGACTAAGCTGCTTTCTAAATATAGAACTATTTATATGTGAAATATGCATACTAAGCTATACTTAAAAAGATAATAAAAGGAAGTGAAACTATAAATTTTAATTATAAAGATAAAATGCAAACCTGATTGTATGCATCCTAACCCCTACACACACAGGAAAATGCCTAAATACTACAAATAGGTTAAGAAAACATGTTATATAGATATAGATATAGATATAGATATAGATATAGATATAGATATAGATATAGATATAGATATTATAGATAACTATATATAATTGGTCAACAGAGAAAATGTTACATGCTAACTATACTGATATTGAATGGTTTAGCATTCTACAGATGTAATAAATGATCATTTTCTAGAAAATAGAACAATTGATACTTTTTTTATAATGTGCAATTTCATATAAAGCAGGACAAATTTTGATAGTTTGGCCTGCATTTTACCTTGTGAATTTGAGATATTAAATGATGGCATTGTTGATTTCAATTGTACTTTTCAAATAACCTGTGTACCCTGACCTTTTATTAGTATCTCCCAGTTGTTAAAGTCTCTGGAATTCTTGTATTTAAAAGTAATTCAAAAATTCTTTTGATCATAATTCTGACTGTGACGTTATTTCAATCATTGTAATCAGGCCCAGCTTATAATTATTTTACCCAGCATTATTAAAATGCCGTCGCATTCTGAAAGCAGGCACATAAGTATGTCTAGATGAGCTTCTTCTGACCTCTCTCTACCCTACACAAGGTCTGCTATAAGAGAAGGTGGTAAGAGACACATATGTGGTACAGCGTCTCCAAAGAACTTGTTCACGAAGACTTTCTTCCTTGTGACTTAATATGTATTGACTTAATTGTCGAGTGGGGATCTGGGGTTAGCTGGGAAGCTTCTGGTCATGCAGCAAACTGGTGCCCGGGGGTAAGGCTGAGTGTGGGAAAGGCACATGGCACTCACTGTGCAGGGGAGCGGTGGGGGGGCTCACCTGTGACCCATGTTTCTCTACTGTTCACAGGGTTTGAATTACCAAAAATTATTCCTTTTCATTTTTATTAGATTTCTTAAAAACCTGTATTCATATCTGTTCATTAATCATCTTTACAATTTTAGAAGGCAAAATCCATGAATGGGAGCTAATTATATATTCTATTATGCCTTTAGGTTTCTGAATGAAAGTCATGTTCCAACACTCAGTCTCTTCTTTAATTCATTTTCACAAGTGATGATTTAATGTTTCGTTTGCTTCCAAGTTTTGCTACTGGGGACAATCATTTTCATGGTTAGCTTCACTTGAAGGAAGACTTTGACTTCATGGAACCCATAAGCATTTAAAAAAATCACTGGGAGCTTTTAAGACCAGCTGTGTTGAGATCACTGCTTTGGTGATGCACAGGCAGAAATGCTCCCCTTTATACCTATGAAATATACCTTTATACATATACCTATGTTACTGACAGCAGTAACATTTATAGTTCTCACATCCCGCCAGCTGAACACAGGGACAAACTAACCACGGAAGCAATGCGTGAGACCAAATTGTGGACTTATTTTCCATTTTTAAAGCCAGGATATATGAACAATAACAGAATTATTTTAAAATGATATAATTCTTAAATGTGATAGCATAGTCATCTCTCTTCTAAATTCTTAATGTATCACATAACATATAACCGGCTAGCTAGAAATGCAAACATTGGCCTTATGTGTACCTCTCAATCTGAATTTTTGTTTTACTCCATAGTTTTGAAAAATGCCACTCTTCATAAGTAATATTCACAGCTCGTAGGTACAGGTCACACACTTGTTTAAAAGAGATATGCTCCTGTGTTTCTAACAGCTGAATGCAAGGTGAGGTGACTGTGATTTAGTAGATACTAATTTGTGCTTTTTTATCTCATTATACAGTTCATTCGCAATGCATGTAAAATCGTTTCTGCTATAAACCCTACTTCAACATTTTCTAAGAGGTAAGTCAAGAATACTACTGCAACTGAGTTCCGGATTTAGTGAGAACAAAGGCAAGGCGGATTTCGGCTGGGGAAATTAGATGTCGCTGTCCATCCCAGAGCCACATTTCCGGCAGAAGATCTCCATGTTCTGGGTCAGGAAGCCTTCGCCCACCAAGGAGATGGAGCATTTCCCACAGTTAAAACACTCACTATGCCACTGGCGATCTTGAAAGCAAATAAACTTGGCACCTTTTAGACCTGCAAAGGAATTGGAAAGAGAATAATCTATTCTTTCAATGACTAAATTTGAGCTTTCAGCCAAGCATTCTCTAGGATCTGAGGACACAGCCCCGAGTAAAACTATGCAGAATCGGGTAACCTCCAAAAGAAGGCTGCCCTCCTGGGAATGTTACACACAGGCAGCTTCCTCCCATGCGACCCGAGAAATTCCCTGCTAAATTCTGGTGCCATCTGCACAAGTAAGTAGAATGTTGATACATAAATAAGATAGATTTGGAAACGGATAAGAACTATCTAAGATCGTTAAAGAAATATAGTGTAGTACACAGGGAAGGCAATATATAAAATTTATTGAAGATTTTAAAGTCAGAGGTGTCCAACTATGAATATTTTTCTCTTTCTCTATGTGACCTAGTTTTCCTGGTACAAAACAAAGATAAAACAAAATAAGCACACACTTCCTAGCTTGGTGTACAGTGTTTTCATACTTTCAGGGTTTTTTTTACCTCTTCTCACTTTACTATGTCTAGTTTTACTTAGAGCAATTCTTACAGTTATTTTGCAGTTTGGGGACAAAATTTCTAAAAAATTGAGGTAGGAAAATTTATCCAAACTACCATAGAGCTGTTATAATGTGAGAATCTTACGGTCTTTCGCAGAGACAGCTGCAACTTAGGGTTGCAATGAAGATCTATAAGCCCGATCACTCTAGCCGGTGTGGCCACCCTATCTAGAGATTTTTCTAAGAAGTTTCCCATTCACCTCTAGCACTTTAACTTGGGTTGCACTTGAGTTGAACTTTTTTTTTTGTTTTGTAATAGTAGTAGTAGTAGCATTTGAAATGTTTTACAGGAGAAAAGGTCTAGAAGTTAGGAGGAACTTGGGTTACCTGGGGTTGGGTCTATTTATTTGACAAGGCACTGTCCCAGTGATTCCAGTGCTATAGGATTCCTATTATTTATTTATCAATTGGTATGGGCTAATTCATGTGTAATTTCCAAATATTCCATTTGGGATGGTGAAGCAAAAAGAGTGACTAAGCATTTTATTTCAGATAAACTCTCCTTGACTATGAAGAACTTTTGTTTTCATCCTTAAAAATATATTTGATTGTGTAGAGCTCAGTAGTTCATAGAGGAATTTACACCAGATTTTTATTTTCTTTCTTTAATTAATTTGCTGGTTTGCTTATCTATGATGTTATCACATTTTTTCCAATAATAGTAAATTAGTAGCACACTAATTAATTACTTTACAATTATTTTAAGCATTATTAAGCTGACTGAAAGAGTAATGTTCTATAATCCATATATCATTTCTACTCACATAATTAATACATATCACTATGATGCTTATAAGTTTTTCTTGATTTTTATTAGTACATTTTCTATTAAGAGACAAATGTAAAACATTCTAGAATGATATTAAGAAAAGAAATCAAAATGTCTGGCAACAGGACTTTACAAAAGACCTGCCTAACATGTGAGATATTTGTCAACTGTTTCAAATTTGGACCTGTTTACTCCTTTGGTCATGAGGGTCATTTGCAGTAAGAAAATCACCCAGGAACACGGTTTCTGCCACTTGTTTATCTGGCTTCCTGTGTTCCTACCAAACCAAGAGAACAAAAGGTGCCATGTTTTCAACCCATAAATGGGTACCAGTCTGTATTCTAACCTCTGTATGTGTCTCTACCTCTTGCAGTCTTCTTGGGGTAGATATTAGCATCATCTTCCTCTTATAGACTAAAATTGAGTTGAAGTTCAACTACTTGTCCAAGTTCATCTAATTAGAAGTGGTAGATCTGATTCAAATCTAGGGCGTCTGACTCCAGATTATGCTATTAATCTCATTTTAAATTTGGCTTTATCTTTTGTAATGAACATAACCAGGAACATTTGCATCTCTCTTGGGATAAAATACAGCATTTGAAACTCATTTTCATCTAAATAAACAGACACTCAAGACTGCTAGTATGTATCCCTTTCAGCTCTTCATTATGTGAGAATGCCAAACACAGCCTCGAGGGAGGAGCTGTTCACACGTGGTCACAGGGCAGTCATGGACAGAGGCAAGACCGAGGTCTGTTATTCTTTAGTCTGGACCTTTTTCATTTCAAATGGTTTGCTGATTGCAGATAATTTGAAATGGTATACAACCTTAAAATAGAAGACAAAGTTGTAGTTTTATCAGGAGTTTGTTCAAATGAACAAGTTCATTGTAATGAGATTAAAAGATTTATCTGGTAATACATAGATAGGTTTTGTCATTTTAAAATTGTGTTCTGAAGCCATTCAAATGTAGCTTTTGAAGAAATTAATTTTAATTAAGTAAAAGTTGTATGTTTTTATGACCCATAACATCATGTTTTGATATATGAATATATTGTGGATATTTAAATCAAATACTTAAGCATTTTCTCACACACATTCAATTTTCAAGTATGTCACATGTTATGATTAACTATAGTTACTACATTTTATAATAGATCTGAACTTATTCTGTCTAATTGAAAATATATGTCCTTTGAATAAGACTACATTTCTTCTTGAAATGAATGCCTGAATGTCCAGTTTTCTGAAGGTCAATATATTACTGTATCAAGATTACCTACAATATATTATTTCAAATAGCTCAATTTATTATAAAAGCATTTCTTCCAATTCATTTTTATCAGCCAGACTTAGAACTACTGAACCAGTTTATGGCATCTCAATCATAGAACCAAAATAAGACCAAGATAACTATTGGAAGTTCCTTTCAGACTGGCTAGTCTACATAAATACATGATGCCACATTTGGTGTCTTTTGGGTCTAATCTTTCTGTTTTGATCTTTAGGCTTTTGTGAAGAACCATTGTTGTTTTAATGTCTGAATTTTTAAAATTTTCTGTTCAGTGACTGATTTCAAACAATTTATCAGGAAAATCACACATGCAAATCTGTAATGGGTCAAAATTGACATTCATCAAATTTAGGATTTGTGTAGCTTCTTCAATATCAATATTAGCCCTTAGAAGATACCAGGGAGCGGTGAAAACAGTTTTTGAAAGATTTAATTTTCTCATATCCTTATAGAAGTGCCTTTTTCTCTAGCCTAATTCAAGAAAAGTTTAGAATAAATGGTAAATGTAGATTTCACTTAAGAGATTTTGGAGCTACAGTTACGTTGCATATTGCAGTCCCATTTCCTAACTAGAGGTGGTAGAGATGGTGGATTGTTCCCTTGGCTACAGGAACTGCTAGAAATACAGAGAAGGCAGAAGAGCACAGTGTCAAGGAACATGTGCTCTAGAGCCCAGTGGTCTGCAGAACCTCACACAGGCCTTGTGAAGGGTAAAGAAGGTTCTGCAGCTGAGGGACAGAGATAGGTATGAGGGACACAGAAGACATGTCCCATGCAACCAGAAGCTGCTCAGCTCCACGTGACAGCAATTTTGCCTAGGGAGTACGAAGGCAGCCTGCTGGCCTGTGGCAAGCTCTTTAATTGCTTTTCACTTAAGGTGTAGATTAGCTCTTTTTCCAAATATGTGTGAGGTAAACAAAACCTGTAGTAGCCAAACACAGTTTATAGACTGATGTGAGTTTCTGAAACACAAAGTGTCCTGCATTAACACCAGAGTATGCTTTATCTAACTGATTTGCTCTGTCCTTTTGTAAATGGGTGCAAACCCACCACCTGAGATATGTAGCAAACCTTTTCTTTTATTGGCGGATGAATAAGATTTAACTAACATTTTGTCATATATATATATATATATATATATATATATATTTGAAGATGGAGGAGGAAACGGATAGAATATTTTTAATTCTGTGTTATATAATCTGAACTAAAAAAATTAAATATGGCCTAAGAATACTGGTTATGAAAAATAGAAATGCAGTTCTGTCATATTCTTAAGTGACTATAAAATGGCCTACAAGAATAGCTAATGGGTTCCTCAAGTATTATGCTGGCTTCAGTTCCTTTACTATAGGGTTAGCATTTTAGAGATGGTTATGAAGAAAATACATTCATTATAGAAAATAAATTCACTTTCTTTAAGTCTTGAAAACCTACATTTGAATCAATTTTCTATTTATGTTATTTTTAAAATCATATCTAATGTATATGTTTTCAGTAGAATTTTGTATTATTTTTTTCATTTATTCATAATTAAAACTTACTCCCAAAGAATAGAGGAAAAGGAGTAATTCATTTCTTAGAAACATCTTAAAATTAAGTTCAGTTAATGCCTGTTCTATGCTATCCTAACCATTACAGTTTCAGATATTTTATAAAATAATTGCACTGAGTTAAAACTTGTCATATTTTAAGTGAACCTGGTCCTTTCTTGAAATTAAATAGGGTTCTGATTTATTATTATCTGTTCCTCCCACTAAAATCCTTAATGTGTCTCAAATCAGTCCTTTTCATTATGGTCTTCTTTGACATTTTAGCTCATCCTCTTTTCTTCCTAGAACTATGATTTAGTGTAGAGTCTGTACCACTAAATTTGGCATTTAATTTCTTTTTAGGGATTTCCTTTTATGGTCTATAGCCACCCACTCTTTCTAGGCCTAGGGATTTAGCTCAGTGGTGTAAGCACCTGCCTGGCAAGTGAGGTCCTGAGTTCCTTCCCCAGGAATTAGCTCAGCGGCGTAAGTGCCTGTCTGGAAAGCATGAGGTTACTCTTTCTTTTTCTTGAGGGGATCCACGTAATATTTAAATTTATATATAAGTTTCACTTACACTTATCTGACAAGGAAACATAAATGACAGATTTACACTTTTTACTTACATTTCCTAAATTAATCAAGTAGCATTTTACATGGTTCTGTTTTATAGTAAGGATCATACTGAGTTGAAGATCTTACCAGAAATAGGTTTGTCACAGGCTGCACACCTTTTGGCATAAAGACAGTTATAGCAGTCCAAGCAGAATGGATAATCATCCCTGGACATAAACTCTTCTTCACAAAGCTCTTTCCTGCAGCCACTACACAGAAAACACTCCTTATGCCATAGCTGGTCACGAAATGTTACCCCACCAGAAGTTATCACCTACCAAAAGATCACAAAAAGGGCAATGAATGTGGGTGTCATCACTGTTCAAAATACCTCATGATTTTATCCCAATTTCTTCAAATCAGACCTTCTTCTGATTTGGACTACTCTATCACCTTGTTAGGATGTCCTTTTCTCTAAGCAATTTGTGATGTTTTTTAATAAAAAAGAGCTACCAAATGTTACAGGGATTAAACAGACAAAAATGAACATTATTCCAGTTTTCTCCTACAATAGATCATGAATGAGGCAGGACAGCTGTGGACTCAGGAAGATCAAAAAACAAAACAAAACAGGTACTTCACTCTCTTTTTTTTTCCTCTGAGTGTTATTTTAATCTTCAAATTAAATTAAATTTAATCTTAAAATCCGAGTTAAGATATTTCTGTACTATATTTGTATATCAATATCTAATTTTCAAGGATGTTGAAAATCCAGTTTCCTGAAAGCTTTATGCTAGGTTTAGGAATATGTAGAGGGAAATCAATTTGGTAATAAGACTCACATATTTAAACTGCTCTTTTCAGTCAGCACTGTGGCGGAAGCTGGCCTCTGGTGTTTATTTTGCACGCCTCCTTGTCTTCATGATGCATACTCTTATCTATCCCCACTTATAGACAGGCAACAACTGGTGAGGAGAGTGGCCAAGGCACTTTCCCTGGCCTCAAAGAGACGGCATTCAAGTCTGCACACCTGACTCCACAATTTGTGTGCTTAACTAGTCATACAATTCTGAGTCAGAGTCACTCTGCACATATAACTACTTCATAAGGCCTTGCTTAATGAATGAATGAATGAATGAGTGATTACCAATATAAAAGATCTCTGAAAAGCAGTTCCAGTACAGTGTCTAGCACATAGGGTATTGTCAACAGGTAGGTGAGTTTTTAGCTTTAGGTCTCAAAATAACAGTATTAATTTTACTGAGCCTTAAAATGTGATAGGATTTGGTCAGAGATGCCTCTTAGTTCTCCATAAGACAATATATTTTTCTAAACCAGTTTAATTTATAAATTCTATTATTAAAAGTTTAAAACATTACTATTGAGAGACAGACAAACATCTAGTGTGGCTATTTTGCAGTCATATCTTTCAAACCCATAGCAATTAGACTGGAGATGCTGAGGAAAATAGAACATGTTCATGTATGAGTCTTTTAAAAACTGAAGCAATGTGATATCTGAGATGTCCTTACAGACTTTGTATCAAATTTAACCTTTAAACAATCATAGTTTATGAACTAAAACTGTTGTATACTTACTCTTAACGGTATTTTCAATCATATGACAAATACAGTATAAATTAAAGATATTTCATATTAGTTATATTTCCTGGAAAAATACTATTCTGAGTAAGTAAAAGGTAAGCATAATGGTTTGTGTGAAGCAAAGCAATTGAAAACTCCCTGCTGACTTCCAATGCCTTACAGCAGGCACAGTAGAAATCATAATCCCTTTGATTGGTTTGGTCAAATGTTGGCAGGCAATGCTTAGAAGATTTGAAACTTGAAAAATGTAATCAAAGCAAAATACAACTTGATGTATGCACCAAAGAGTGTATAATTAAGGGGTAGAAATTCTGGAATGTTAAAAGTACTTTATATGTGACTATATTCTTTTGGAAGAGTTAGGCAGGCTCAGATGGAGTCTAATGTCTAAATTTGGTTTTGGTCACTGACTGATCCCAGGGTTTAGAACAAGTTTTTTTCTCTAACAAAGCAAAGGCAATAATGATTTTATTTGCAGTAGATAATAGACAAAGTTTTAATGAATACACTTAACTATATTTGAACTCTAAGGAATTTAAATGCAAAGCAATTGTGGTTCAAGGTCATTTGCTTCTTAGAAGAAAATAAATTTTGGTGTAACAAAAGGAAATCTGTAGAAAAATGTTCGTGGGCCTAGTTATGGAATACTTTTTCCTTTTTTAAAACAGAAATTTGGACTTTGATTTGAGTTAAAAATTTGTTTTTCTTTATCTTTGGTCAAAAACATGTATATTTGCTTTCCTTCAGGAACTTATGGTTTTAAAAATTGAATAGAAAATAATATGGCATATCATAATCTACTACCCAACATTAACATTTCATAAATCTCTGATGCCTTCAAATCCTATCTTAAATATAGTCACAGTCTTCCCTAACTTGGTAAATGCTATAGCTTTCCACTAGATAGTGCTCAACCCTGATATTTTGGAGAAGTTCTTGTTCTGAATCTTCATAGCAGCACTGAAAGTTTATATTGCATTCAATACATTTTAGGATGATTCCCACAAATTTCATTAATGTTTTAGCCAAAGTCACTAACAAATGCAGCCTAAAATTGGCTACTTAGGTGCCTCTCAAATTGGATAAACCTGTTCATTTTTTTTCTAGCACCTGTTTTTAAATGCATGTCACTAACTGTGGTAATTCAGTGAAGGCTGCTATGTTACAGGGCCATGGGGTATGACTATTGCTTGTAACATCATTTTCTAAGTCAGTGTCATTGTCTAAGTCAAGGCAATGGAGTTGTTCTGGTATTAGATGATTGTATGTCATGTTCCACTGTAGCTCTCAGCTATCATTATGGTGCGATTCAATAATTTAAGTTAGGAAATTGCATTAATGCAATACTGGTGTCGTTAATACATGTAAAAATATAGAATGTGATAATGGGACTTCAGGCTGTCCACATACAAATACACAAATGATTTTAAGAGCTCTGACAAAGCAGCCCACAGATCACAATGTTTAGGAACTGCTGGACTATCCAAGGTATGTTCGTGATTCAGCTTTCTCGTCACAATTTAAAACTTGTGACGCCCCACTGGTCAAGGATTTCTTTCAGAACATCAATATATATTTTATGAAACACATGCTTTATCAAGGTGGTAGACATCAGTCATTTTTCACGTAAAAGCTTGGAAGCTAAAAAAACTGACAAAACTTCTTCTAAAATGTTACTGTTCTGCTGTTGGAAAATGTGCTTTGAATGGAAACCCAGTTAAGGCGGCTATACTTGTTCGGAGCCAGAAATGGAGGAGGCTGCAGCTGTTGGTCTTTGCTTTGTGTCTGTATGTTTACTGAATTTCCCTCATAATCCTGTCAGTCTCTCAAACTTACTAGCCTATTCTTTGAAGACACAAAATTGTCAAGCCAAAAAGGCATTTTCTTCATTAGAATATAATGTGAAGTGTTATACACCAATTTAGCTTGTTTTATTTAATCATTCTGTGAGGCAAACTCATGTTCCTCTGAAACAGTTAACATTGAATGCCTCAAAAATTCATGTTTGAAGGAATATATTCAAAGAGAGATGTGTCCTCTCTCAGGTTACATGAAATGTTGCATACAGGCTGTAAGTGGAACTGGAATATCTAATCACTTGAGCTACTTGGAATAGTAAACTTTGCTGGGTGGAATTTTACTGCTAATAAAAATAAGTAGCCAACCCCATTGTAATGGCTTGTGGTTTTGGGCATGTGGAATTTAAAACTAACATGAGAATGTTAGTTTGATATACCATAATAGTTTTAGGTTCATTCTCAATATATGATGCAGTTAAAATGTAATCATCTGGAAGGTTCCATAAGCCTTATCCACCACTGATATTTACCTTTTTACAAAAGTTGCAGTACTGAGCAAATTCCTTCTCAAAACATGGCACACAATAATTGCCAGTCTCTTTGGAGATCAAAGGCTTTGTCCCTATTGGTTGCCGGCAATATTCGCACACAAAGCAGGTTTCATGCCAGTAGTTCCCCTTAAATTCCATTTTGCGAGAACCTGAATTCCAAAAGTAAGAACCTTTTAGTATAAATCAGGCATAACTTTATATTCTTTAAGCAATTATAGATAACATTTCTTAAAATATATTTTAAACATAAAAGTCATAAATTAATTGACCTTTTAGAAAACAATATTTTTTTCAGTTTCAGAAATATTCATCTGGGGAAAGAAAAATTAATACAGTTGAGCCATGATGACATTAAGTCACTCATTCATTCACTGAAAACTCTTCCAAGGCTTGCATAAAGCTGCAATTGGAGATGTGAAAATATTTGAAGCGGAGAATTTGAATGGCTACACAGGGTTTAGATAAATTAGAAATGCCCAGGGATTTTATGTCATGCAGTTATGGTCTCTGAAATTATTTGAATCTATAATAAGAAAATAAGAGAGAGAGGGCGACAGACAGACAGAGTCTTTTTTATACTTCACTCATAAGAATACAGAAAAGGGCCAAATATACTGCAGCAGTTATCAGTGCTTGCCGACAGTGGCAGGCTCTTGATGGACCCTCACATCAGTTTGCTTCTGCTACAAAACAATGTTTGACTTCAGGGTCCTTCCACAAGTCATTCTTTCATGTGCCAAGGGAAGGTTTCCAAAATATTGTCTTTGGAATGAATTTTGTCTTTTTGCATAGCTCAGGTTCTGTTTTGAAATATTTATGTAAGTTAAATTTTTTTTGCTCTGTCTTTTGTTTTATTCTTATTTTGTCTAACCCTGTACCAAACCACTACCTATAGACATCTTTTTTAAAATTTTATTTAAAGAAAGACGAAACAAAACAGAAAATGGGTAGAAATAATACATACTTTCAAAGAAAAAAAACACAGTAAGAAATCACTAGTTGATGATTACAGATTGTCCTCTTAAAAATAGTTATTCAAGATACTAAAGTGGAGCATACAAGGTGGGAATTTAAACAGTGAGACTGCAACCAGTTCTTTTCAACTATCCAACAAAAACTTAGAAATATGGCTATCAACCCTATATACTTAAACATACGTGCAATTATCTGTATCTTCAATTATGGTGAGATTGAACAAACCCAAGCAGGCTAATATCACTCTGAACAAAGAATAACACTATTGCTGGGTGTCACATTATGACACTCCAAGATCAGCACTGGGTACTTTAGTGTCTCTTTTCCTTCAAAGTATTTGTTCATTTCATCATGTGTCATAAGATCATTTCTCATAAACTGTTTATAGGTTCTACACATGCTTGAATCTTAACATGTATTTCTATCCTTTCTATATTAGAGGGAAAAACAAAACAAAGCAAGACAAAACAAAACATATTACTATAAACACATGAAATAAAAAAGACATATAAGACTGTTGTACAAGGAGTTCTACCATGGTTCCTGTGTTGTCTCTTGTTATCCTCAATAGAATTGGCTATATCATCAGACATAGTATAATTGAATATATCAGTACATAACAGTATTAATAAAACACACAACTTTGTATATAATATAAAACTTCAAAACCAGACAGTAATCAAACCAGAATGTGTATCCTAGTGAATTTTGTCATCTTCAATGTAGTTGCCTATACTCTCAGACGTGATACTATCAATCATATCAGTTTTGAATAAAATCTGTCAATACCCAACAGCAATCAAACAAACCAGATTTAACTAAGACTAGTCATGATAAAACAGTTTAAGTCATACAGGGCTCCAGATTAAGATAATAGGAAATTAAAGATGATTACTGTGCTATATCCTGATGTTTTTGGGATAGCTGTCTGCGCCTTCAAATCTAATGCAAGCATCAAACTGGCACAGAATAAAATCTATCTAAGCAGAGTGGTGCAAGTAATGTGGGTTTTAAATCTGATACACTATTAACAATATCTTCTGCCATCTTTTTAAAGACTTTCCCTCCCCTTCTACTTCCCCAGGATACACTGTGCATTTTTGGGTCTCACCAACACCCTTGGTTTTAAATTGTTGGGGGACAACCTGCTATTTACCTAAGTAGTTCCAAACCTTCTCTCCTGGACTTGATCTCTAATTGTATTCTGTTACCTATTAAAGCTTGTCTTTCCAACCTATCCACGAATACTGGTCTAGTTGCCCCTATTACGCTCTGGTTCTCTGTCACATAGAACATCATTTTCTCATATTTGATTTTCAGTCCATGTACTCTTTTTCATGTTAATTATATTTCCTATAAATAGTGTCTCGGTGGACCCTACCTCCTGATCTACTCTACATGTGGATCTTTTTAAAAATTTATTGTATCAAGGCCATCTATATTAAAGATTATAACCAACCTTCTCTGCCTCATTTCTGTTATGCTCTTTTTTTTGCCAACACTTGTCTGCTTGTCTTCTTCATTTTGTTTTCTGCTCCATTCATTGAGGTTTCTTTGCCCCTGTTCCTGGAATCCTGGTACTTTTCTCTCTCTAGAAGGCCCTGCAGTATTCTCTGTAGAGTTGGATTGGTGTTCATGAATTTCCCAAGTTCTTTTTTGTCTTGGAAGCTTTCTTGTTTCTAATTTCTAGAAACGGATTTTCAGGTATTGACAGGTATATCAATCTAGGTTTGAGGTTATTTTCTTTCAGGGCTTGGAATATTTCACTCCAGGCTCTTCTTGACTTGATGATTTGTGTCTGCCATTATTCTCTGGGCCTTCCTTTATACGTGATCTGTTTCTTGTTTCTAATAGCTTTTAATATTTTGTTCTTATATTGAATTTCTGGGATTTTGATTATTATATGCCTGGGTATAGCTCTGTTTTGGTTATAGGTGGCTGGAGTTCTGTATGCCTCATACATCTGCATATCATTTCCTTTTCCTATGTTTGAGAAGTTTTCCTTAATTATTTCTGTGAATGGCCTTTGTAGTTCCTTTGTTTGTACCCCTGCTTCTTCATTCTCATTCTTTATTCTCAAGTTACAGATCCTCTTGTCATCTTTTAGCCTTGTGTTGTTACTGCTTGTTTCCTTAATATTTTTAAAAAGCTTTTCCTTTCATAATTCCACATTGCAAATCTCTCCTCCAGTTCCGATAATCTACCCTTAGTTTCTTTCAATCAGTTTTGCCATCTTTCCATAGAGTTTTTAATTTCCTGGTAGTCTCTTTGAATCTGCTTCATGTAGTCTATATTGTCTTTATATTCTTCATCAAATGGTCCTCTCCTTTGTTAGAGTTCCTCCATTCTTCTGTCTGTGTTCTTCAGGGCTGCTTAGCATCTCTTTTATTAATCTTCTTGTATCTTGCTTTACTTGGCTAAATATTTCCCTTTTGAACTCGTCTATGAGGTCCTGAAGACATCTCTTTATATCCATTGGTGATGTGTCTGATATTGCATGTTTGCTGTCCTCGTTCTCCTTTGTATTTACCTGTCCTCCATCAGTGTTCTCAGGGTTGGGACCTGGGGACTTTTTCTTGTTGCTGCCTCTTCCCCCAGAAACTGGAGGCCCCAGTTTCTTTCTTTGTTGCTTACAATTTTTCTGAAGCATGCTGGCTAGGTGACCCTTCCCAATGCAGTGTGCTAGTGAGTTGCAAACAGGGGCAGCATATGCTGGCCCCTCCCCTCTAGGTCAGTCAACCTGCCGAGGCCTTCAATGTGTTAGCATGCACGCTGCCATAGGGAATTGATTTCGGATAACCTATTGGGTCTCAGCCAGGTCGCATGACCCAGGCCAAGCTCACTCCACCAATTCCATTCGGGAAGGGAACAACAGACTGAAGTCACTGCTGCCTGGTCTTGCCAGTCCTGCCTGGTCCCAGAATGTCATCTGTTGGAGCGCCATTCTCTGTGTAATGGTTCCATTCCTGTCACTCACCACAGGTTGATGCAGGCTCACCAGCTCAGCTCTCTGTTCAGCTCAAGGACCCCAGACCTCAGCATGACTGGGCCTACAGTGAGTGGAAGTGGTGGAATTTTGGATGGCTTGTTATGTCACTGGGCTCGGGCACTGCAGGGGAGCACTGAACTCTTAGCTGCTCCAATAATAGCACTGGGACTGTATGTTTGATTGGTTCTTCTCACCTTAGTTTCTTCTTGTGATAAGAGAATTCATCTCCCTCTGTCCAGGCCTCCCCACACTGTATTATGTTGAATTCTAAGTTGACTATCTCAGGGAGCCTCTGCAGCCTGCTGTTATCTATCCACCATCTTTGCTCCTCCCACCAAGTTAAATTTTTTGAAAATAGAGCACTATTGTATTACCTGTTCAGAAATAATGAATGAACAACCGTTTTCTTTCTGAGGTGTGTGAAATAAGATCAAGAGAAAGCAAGGAGGATGCCATTTTTAAACCCAGGGCTCTTGAGCCCTGAACTCCTCTTTCAGCATTCAATGACATACAGCCCTACTTAGAGCTCTAGTTAGAGCTTACAGCTTCCTGGAAAACTTACCAGGCATGATGGTCCTCTTGCAGTGGAAGCACTTGGAGGAGCACTCATTAGAATAGCATTCCGTGCAGAGGAGGCGCTCATCCTTGGCAGCAAAGGGATTTTCCACCAAAGAGTGATAGCATTTGGTGCACCTGAAGCATGTTTCATGCCAATGCCGGTCTTTGTAACAAAGATCCTTTGAGACAGGAAATAGAAGGTTAATTAAGTGCATGTGCAGCAAAATGGACCATTTTATGAGACAAAATGGAACATTCCTGGGACTCTAGCACCAGTAGGTTGTGCAACTACTTAAGGGGAAGTTGGAACTGATAGTGTTACCTACAAAGAAGAGATTTTGTGGGTAATTAAGAGTTAGAACCTGGGGTTCTTGGTCACTAAGCCTGCTGGAAAATAGACTGTCTTATATTTCTTCAAATATCAAAGGTTTTTCCCAAGGTTTTTCATAAGGTCTTTTGAAGGTTTTTCATAAGGTAAGTTTTAAATTTTTGTTGCAATATCTTATTATTCTTTGAGACTTAACAAACAACTTTTATTTTTGGCAGTGGTGAACATTAAACCCAGAGCCTTGTAAATGCTAGGCAAGTTTTTACCACTCAGTTATATTCCCAGACCAACAAACATGTAATACCACCCAGTTAAAGGAAAGACAAAAAAGGAAAAAGAAAGAAAATACTGATCATAGTATGAGGAATGAGGAGTAAGTGGAAATTTTTAGTAAAGATCTAATGAAAATGACACTGATTTTTAAGTAGAAAAGTACACATTTAAGCATTTATGCATTTAATTATACTATGGTTATTCCAAAAATAACTCAATATTTTAGCTGTGTAAAGTTAGGAAAATAGCTTCAATAGTATTAAAGATCAGCAGAGAAAAAGGAATTCTAGAGCACCTCTCACTACATTTAAGCAGTCCTTCTGTGGACTGTGATGAGACCTACCTTGGAATCTGATTCAATTGGTTCTTTGCATGCTTCACAATAGTTAGAGAAGAAACGATCATAACAGGAAACACAGTATGGGTTGTCATTCTTTAGTACATACTTCTTCCCAAGAAGTGATGATGTGCAGTGTTGACAGTCAAATTGGGTTGCCATTTCGGTTTAATCCTGTGAATAAGATTTGTGTATGATAAATTTTTTTTTTTTTTTTGGTACTGGGGATCAAACTCACAACCTCACACTTGCCAGGCAGGTGCTTACACCACTGAGCTAAATCCCCAGCCCTGATCCTTGTATTCATGTAAAAGAAAAAATTGTTTATAAATGATAACCCTAAGAGTCTAGCTTTTGAATCAATTTACATTTTCTTAGGCAAAAAAAAAATCTTCCAATTTAGGAAAATATGCTTATAGTCATGGAGACGCTTGGAATGATTTAGGAAAGGCTATTCTTCCATCTTGGCAGTTATCGTATATATTGCTAAAAAATTTAAAAAGCATCAAGCTGGATTGTATAAAAGATCTTGCATTCATCATGAGCTAATGTGAAGGTCATCGGGAGGGTGATGTGTGTTAACAGAGGATGGCTTCTTCTTAAGGCTATAAATATGACCTGTTGACAGTGCTGTCACTATAAAATCATCTTGATTTATGGTGGTGGAAATGAGACTCCTTTTTACTTAAATTTGAACAGAAATAATGAAAAAATACCTTTTTATTTTCTAGATTTTTTTCTTTTTACTTCTAAAATCTTTACTAGGTACCTAATCAGGGATTTATATAAATCCTAGAGTTTTCCATCCTCTGTTGTAACAACATTCTTATCTGTGGCTTCAGTACTCTTAAGTTTGATGATGACTCTAAATACCTCAATCTTCTGGGATGCTCCACTTAAAAGCCCCACACCAAACTAACCAAAAAACAAAGACATTCCTCAGTGGGTTAGAATCGATCCAAGTGTTAGGTTTTTGTGCCTAGTGTTGAGAAATTGCCCAGATGAAAAAGTGCAGATAAAACCATTATTGGCAGGAAAAAACCTATAGACTTTATATTTCAGAGCTGAATTTTATGTATATAATATGAATAAAAGCATAGACCTCTTACAGAATGAAAGTTTGTTATGAAACATGAAGTTAGGGGCAGCATAACAAATTCTAATTATTTTATAAATCTAGCAAAACTATTAAGGAACAAAATACACAGTTTCAAGAGTTTATAATTAGGTATTAAACATGAAATTTTCATTATTATCAGAAGCAGTAACATTATTTTTTCTTAGAAAATTGGGTTACAGTTCCTGGAACTCCACTGGAATATATTAAAATCTGTGAATGTTTTCCAATTTCCCACTGGAATATATTAAAATTGTAAATGTTTTCTAATTCTTCAATTTAGAAATATGTTAAATTCTAGTAAAGTTTGAACATCAAATGTTGTGATGCTTTTTAAAGGCACTTTGATTCCAGTTTTTTATTTACTACATTTAACTGTTATTTTTACACATTTTTCTTTCTTTTATTCTAGAGGTAAATTTTCCCACAGATTATTGCTAATAATTTGTGTATAACAGTTATGTTGAACTTCTCTCTTAAGTAGACAAAGACTGAGGATTTGTAATACATGGGTCTTTTCCCAGTAAATATAAAAATGCAGTTGAAATTTCCCAATGGACCATGACCAAAATTGTCTGCAAGGAACACTGAATTCTGTTTGATTAATTCCATAGAAATGTCCTATCCAAGTTCCAAAGGGCTTGGAAACAGCTGGAATATAGATCAGATTCACTTGAAAAGCTTCTAAAGGAAAGTTTTTTTTTTTTCACATTTATAGTGACCACATTTATTTTAATAGCAAAATAAGGGAAGTACATTGAACTTTTATCATTTACTACGGAAAAATGTCATTTCTATTGTTAATATTTAGTTTTAGATATACATAATAGCACCATAAATTGTAACTTCTCAGGGTTGTGAATTCGCAAGCCACTTCCATTTTCTAAGGTTATTAAAAAAAAAAAGGAAGAAACAAGGGATTCTAAATTGGTAGTGTTTCAGCTATTTATTTTAGGCCTCATAACACAATAACATTATAATGTCTGTATTTGGTGACTAGGTCAGAAGACCGAATGGTTTCCCCATCTTCATCCTATTTAAATAATGGGGATTGTTCCCTAGAAAATTCTTTTCAAATGGAACATATTTCTTCATTTTTTTAAAAGAAGAAATTTTTATTCCATTATTTTTCATAAAAGCAAAATCAATGTGAGTTGGGTAGAACAAAAATCAGTTCAATATCTCAAAATCATGTGCTTTTGCATTTATAATTCTCAATGATGACAGTAGACATTTAGTACATGTCCACATTTATGGAATATTTACTCAGTGATAACTGAGTTCCTTGCATACAGAATCTGGACTCCTTTAGATTACTTAGCAAATAAAGTCTGACACAGACATGAAACTGGATATTTATTCTTTTTTGCTGTTAGAAAAGTACACTAAGAAATTCAGTTCTTTTCATGAAGTATGCTGCTCAACTGTGGAGATATGAAGTGTTCAGATACAGTTTCTTAAAAATAGAGGTGTTACAATCATGGAAAGGCTGTGCATTCTACTAGAACCATAAAGGACTAAGAGAAAGAATTTTCTAGAAAGATTTCAAGGAAGTTAAGCTATTGGAAATCTGTCAGAAAGCAAGCAAGCAAACAATCATTCTTAATTATCAAGGAAAGAAAAGACAAATGAGAGAATAGAACACGATTTCATGTGCAGTTGGGAAACGGTGATTCTTGACACTAGGTTTGCACTTCATTCATTAAAATGGAGACTGAAACATTAAAATTTTCAAAGCTGCTTGAACTCTCTCACTATATGGGGAAGGAGTGGATTGAAGAGATAAGATTATGATTTTTTTCAATCAGATTACGTATCTCATTATTTTCTAAGCATCATTTATAGTGTCTGCTATTCTTGATCCCTTTCATTAGTATTTTTAAATACTCAGAAAACACCTGTGTCCAGAAGGCGGGCCCAGTGGCCTCTTTTTAATCATTACCTAACGGGTAAAACTGAAGAAAAGAGGATGAAGGCTACCTAATTCTTTCCACAGGAGATGTGTCTGATTAACGATCTGTCAAAGACATGGAGAAAATACCGTTTTTGAGTATTTAAAATCTTTGATCAGTGTTGAATTGTGTGTTTTAAAACTCTTATATGCCATGACTGAGTAGCATTTAACTTTTGTGGAAGTGAAACACTAGTAATTAGACTGGGATATATAATTTAGCTATTTACTTAAAACTTCTTTTAAATTGATCATGCAGTTAGTACAATACTTAAAATGAAAAATTTTTGTCATTGCATCCTTTCAGAAGATTAAGAGGTGCACTGAACATATGAAAATAAATTCATAGTTGGAAATCAGCAAGGATGATTTCTCTAGTTCTTTATTTTTCTAGTTCCCTCCCTTAGATTTTACTGTTACCTAAGATTTCTACATTCCACCTGGACCACTACATTCACTGGGAGTAGTTTCCATAGATGAGAATGCAGTTTGTTTGGGTTTTTTTGTCTTTTTCATTTTTATCGGTACTGGGGATTGAACTCATGACTGCCTGCTTGCAAGGCAGGTGCTTATGCCGCTGAGCTAAATCCCCAGCCCCTGCAGTTTATTTTTTAAACCACGAATAATGTTGTGTCATTATATAAAATAGTGATTTATTGATGAGACTAATGCTTTGAGTATATGTCCACTTACTTTTCTACCAGGCTGAGCAGGATAGATAGATTCACAGGGAGTGTACTTGATAGCATGTCAAATAGGAGAGACAAGGTCCACGCCTGGTATCTTTAATGTACTCTACTTATAAGGTATCACATGTTATTCATTTATTCATATGTTTAATAAGCATATAAAGTATATGTTATTGGCAAAACAATCTTCCAGAATTTTAAGGATATGCACTTACATTAGATTCAAAGCTCGTCTGCAGAGAATTTATAATCTAATAGAAAGAGTAAGGGAATTTTACAAATAACAACTAAACAAAATTTGAGAAGGGCCTAAGGAGAAACAAAGGGCAATAAACATTAATAGCAGTGTTTCTGAACATTTTAAAAAAAATTTATTTTTATTTATTATTTGTTTTAGTTTAAAGAAGGTAAAACCAAGGAAAATAAAACAGAATAAAACCAATCAAAATAAACCAGTATAAGTGATACAGGACTTCAAAATCTTATGAAATCAACAATAGTTATCATAGTGCCTTTTGTTGCTTTTTCAAAATAGCTGCAGATACCTTCAAACAGAGCAGAATAGAATAGAAACAATAAGAAAAAATAATGAATGCAATAAAGGACTTCAAGACAAACCAATTGTAAATCAAAATGGCTACCATAATATGTCTTGTTATCTTTTAAATACATACTCATGCCATCAGATGTAACTTAATCAAACAGAAGAGAATAAAACCCAACCCAACAAAACAATGAAAATTATATGGTTTCCAAGCTGGAACACCTCCTGGTGAGGCCTGGTTCTCTCACCAGAGCAGTCCGCATGTCTGGTGCTCACAGAGAGAAGCTTGTATCTGGCTGTCCCCATTATGGCAGTGGCCATTGCATGGTGCTGGTTTCCAGGCAGGCTAAAATTTTTAAAATTTTCAGTTTGCACCTTTTCTCTCAAACCAGGTGACTACAAATAAGTATTTCTCAGTTCTTAAGTAGGCCTAATATTGAGGGTTGAAAACCAACAGTTTAAAAGAGAACAGTTTCAGCAAGATAAAATTCGAGAGCAACACGGAGAAGGTGTATCTGATGGATCACGATGTAGATTATTATGGACTGGCTTTCCTAATCTTGGCTCAGACAGGCTGAAGGTGCCTACCTGACTCTTAACGTGAGTGCATGCTTAGGAGGCAAATCTGGCTCTGTTCACACGTAGGAAATTGGAAGGCAGATGTAAAACAATGGCAAGACTGTTGTCACTGTTGATGCTGGCAAGCTGGGTAAAAACAATTTTAAAAAGTCACCTAAGAGGCGTCACAGAATTAATAAAACATGAAAAATTAAGGGACAAAGTCCAGGCAGAGAAAAAACACAGATAAACTTAGTATCTGGAGTCCCCTTTCAGGAAGCAGCAACAAATTGAGGAGGGGAAAATTAGGAAGAA